CAAATTTGGTGTCAATTTGTCCAGTGGTTTTTGAGTGATATTAATCCTACAAACGAACATTACATTGTCGAAGGCTTTCATGGCCGGAATCACTAAGTTCTTGTGGGTCTTTTCGGGATATATGGCCATGTTCTAGAGGCATTTCTCCTGACGTTTCGCCTGCATCTATGGCAAGCATCCTCAGAGGTGAGGTCATTACATTTTTATTTGTATAGATTAATATTTCAATGGGAAGTGTGGGCCTGCTTTTGGCTGATGAGATCGGATTGTTGTTGTTGTGTGCTTTCAAGCTGTTTCAGACTTAGGTTGACCCTGAGCAAGGGCCAGGGAAATGATTTTGGAGGGCCGTATCCAGCCCTCGGGCCTTAGTTTGAGAACCCCTGCTTTAAACGGTCTGCTTTTAGGGTTACCTCCAGATCCAAGCATTTCCATTTGGAGGAACCATGGAGATGCTGGAACAGGAGCGGCTTCGCTCTTAAAACAGAAGTTGAATCCTCCAACCAAAAGTCCTCCTCCTGCTGTGATTGGACAACTTTTTAGGCGGCCTCTCAGCCAGGGGAGGGCTGTTTCTGAGACTCCAGGTGTGGATGGGAGAGCAGGCGTGCTCAGCACATAGCAGCGTGGTTCTCATGTGCACACAAGGGAGAGCGCACAAAGCTGGAGGGAGGCTCATGCCAGCAAGTCCCTTCAAGGCATGGGGGTTCTGTGTGGTAAGTTTGGCCCAATTCTATCATTGGTGGGGTTCAGAATGCTCTTTGATTGTAGGTGAACTATAAATCCCAGCAACTCCCAAATGTCAAGCTCTATTTTCTCCAAACTCCACCAGTGTTCATATTTGGGCATATTGACCATTCATGCCAAGTTTAGTCCAGACCTATCATTGTTTGAGTCCACAGTGCTCTCTGGATGAGGTGAACTACAACTCCAAAACTCAAACCCTCCCAGTATTTTCTCTTAGTCATGGGAGTTCTGTGTGCCAGGTTTGGTTCAATTCCATCATTGGTGGAGTTCATAATGCTCTTTGATTGTAGGTGAACTATAAATTCCAGCAACTACAACTCTCAAATGACAAAATCAATCCCCCCCACCACCACCATCACCAACCCCACCAGTATTCAAATTTGGGAGTGTTGGGTATTTGTGCCAAATTTGGTCCAGTGAATGAAAATACATCCTGCAAATCAGATATTTACATTACGACTCATAACAGTAGCAAAATTACGGTTATAAAGTAGCAACAAAAATATTGTTATGATTGGGGGTCACCACAACATGAGGAAACCTATTAAGGGGTCACGACATTAGGAAGGTTGACAAACACTGAATTAGAACAAGGCTTGGAAGTGCAGGGCTAGAAAGTGGGAGAGCTAACCCTGAGTTTGGGAACATTTTCAAACAAGTTGCCATGTGAATCTATCAAAGCATAACAAGAATGTACATGTTAGATATCCCTTATCCAGCCTTTCGGATTTCACATTTTTTCCATAGAACTATAGAGTTGGAAGGGACTGCTAAAGTCATCCAGTCCAGCCCCTTGCCATACTATTAGTAGTAGTAGTATTTATATTATTTACAAAAAAATTATATATATACACACACTATATATCCTACTTCCTCTCTCTCTCTCCATTCCCTTCCCCCTTCCTTTCCATCCTTCTCTTCCTCCCTCCCTGCCTTACTTCCTTCCCCTTTGTCTTTCCTTCCTTCTCTCTTTCCTCCCTCCTTCCCTTACCTCCCTCTCTCTATTCCTTTCTACTCTTCCTTCCTTCCATCCATCCATCGTTCCCTTCCTCCCTCCTGTTTGTTTTTCCTTCTCTCTTTCCTCCCTCCCTCCATTCCCTTCCACCCATCCATCCATCCATTCATCCATCCATTATTCTCTTCCTCCCCTCTCCCTCCCTCCCTTCTTTCCTTTTTC